ACTACACTAAAAGCAACCATTGGGAAGCTCAGGAATGCTGGCACCTGCATTGGCATAACCTTAATAAAGCATTTGAGCACTACCTTTGAGGCATGAGGAAGCACGAGGCCGGTCCCCTGGGAGCATCCCTGCTGCCTCCCCCCCTCCCCCCCGCAGTCTACGGGACAAGGTCACCTTTGGCTGATGCTCCTCCCCAAGCCCAATCTTGAATCTGAAGTCTGGAGTGGATCATGGCCACCAATGAGGCGTCTTCAGCCCCTCCCTTCTTGATACACAAACAAGGCCAGGAAGGAAGACCCTTCCCTTCCCCAACATTGGGTTACCACTGCCAATGCTTCGACTCCACTGAGCGTCCTCCACAAGCAGTCTCCCCGGAGTGGACTCACCAAGACACTCAGAGCAATATGTTCTGCTGTCCCCAGTGGCCACGTTAAACACTTTCTGAAGGGCATCTTGCTTTCCACACACTGGGAGAATTTTTTTTCCACCACCCAATCATCCACGAGGTCTGTTTGAACGAGAACTCACTTCGCACGCCTGGGCAGCACATTCCTCTCCAACTACTTCTATCTAACCTGCAGGATGTGAAATCCAGGCGAGGTTTGCCAACAGGGCAGCTTGCCTTTCTCATCAACAAGTGCAGTGGGAACCATGCCTCTGTGGCCACGCTGGAGCTTCTGCGGCTTAAGCTTCCTCCCTGCATCTTTCTGTTTTTCCAGACCAGGTTTGGTAAGTGGTAGGTCCAGTAATGCCCCCCAGAGGTATCTGTTCCTAATTCCTGGAACCTGTAAATGTCACCTTAAAAAATGTTTTAGATGCCATTAAGGTAAAGATTCTATATACAGAGATCCACCTGGAGTACCATGGTAGCCTCTCAGTGCGACCACAGGGGCCCTTACAAAGGGAAATTTGACACAGACAGAAAAGGAGAATGCAGAATGATGTGGCCACAAGCCAACAACTGCTGGCGGCCACCAGAAGCTCAAAGGGGCAAGGAGGGATCCGGAGTCTTGAAGGGACCAAGGTTCTGCCCAACACTTTGAGTTCAGTACAGAGAAACTGATTTTGGACTTCCGGTCTGGTCCATGAGAGAATCCATTTCTGTCGTCTTAGGCCATTCCTGATGTCATAGCAGCCACAGGACACTCACAAACTTGGTTACCTGGATCTGATCTTTAACACCTCAGCTTCCTGCAGTCACAGTGTGAAGCCACACATCTCAGCACTTGAACTTCTAGGACATTTCTGGGGGAAAAGATGACATTGTCTTTCCTCAACTGACCCAGGGGATGTGGCATCTCCCAGTCTCTCTCAATTCTTCAGAGCAAATGTGAAGAAACAAACACCCCATGGAGATACTCAAACAAGAATTTCCAAGCTCAGCTGTAGGCTCCTATGAACCTGCCTCCCGGGGAGTGCCCCCTTGTCCTCTGAGCTGAAATGTCACCCCAAATGCCTTCTAAGCCACCCAGCAGTTGCAACAGTGTCAGCTTATCTGTTGGGATTCGGGCATGTTGTTTAATGTTGCAGGGCCTGGGGCTTCAATTTCTGCATCTGGAAACACAGATCCTGAAATGCCTTTCTCGTTCAAGAGAGAAAAGATGGTTTCTTTAGCAAAAGGCTGTGTATGAAATTCATCAATACAACTATTTTCCACCGGGAATCCAAATCACCACCTTATTCTTTCTTCAGTTCCTTGTGGCCTGGACTTGATGGCTTCTAATACACAGGAATTTTTGTCCCAGAACAAGATCTCCAAAAATAGGAGAGAATGGAAGAATCCCCTAAGAGATCTAATACAGCAGAAATTTAATTACATCCAGCTCAGGAGTGTGTCCAGTGCTTCCAAAGGATCTAATCCAGCAGAACTGTTCTAGATACTAGCAACAAGCAAAAACAGAATACAATATTATTGCTTTGTAATCTTACTAGAAATGCTGATTTAATTTAAAACCTTAAGGAACCCAAGGGCAAAGAGACAATTCGTGTCTTTTTTTTCCCCTCTTGAACCTAGCGCTCCGTGCACATCTGTAGACAGCAGAAGGTCTTTAATGCAACTCCATGGTCTGAAACGTGGCTCAGAGCTTCGAGGTAGTTTAAAAATATCATTAATAGGAGCTGGGGGCGGTGGTGGGGAGTGATACTTCTGGAGTCTAAATTAAATTGGTTGCTATCCAAGATTTTTTTTTTTTTTTTTTTTTTTTTTTTTTTTGCAGTAAGAGAAGCCAGGAGGGGGAAACGGCCATTAATCTTTTCTGCAGATATTTGGAGTCTTCCACGACGGTGTCCCATGGTCTCAGCACAGCTGTGCCCTCGTCCTCACCTGATGAGCCAAACGCTGGGACGTTTGGGCCCCTGGATGCTTGGACAGCCTGACTGCTCACACTCTCTGCTCTGTTGCCTATTAAATGAGGGAGTCATATCAGCAGATCTTACAGCTCCTCCAAGTTCAAACACTCTGCCTGCACAGACCTAGAGCAACTGGGGCCGAGGCAGCAGCGGGGGGCGGGGGGGTGGATAAATTCTCCATGTACATGGTCCACATGTCTGAGGACTTTGCACAGGGAATTAATAAGCTGACCGGCTCTCTTGAGAGCAAGATTCAAATGAGGGGGAGGAGTAGGTGTTTAACCCTTAAGATGTCTGCATTCTGCATCTGAGTGCCTGGGTCCCATCCCTAGCTCTGCTTCGGACTCCAGTTTCCTGTTAATGGACACCTGCAGAGGCAGCAGGGATGGCCCGAATAATTGGGTCCCTGACACCCACGTGGGAGGCCTGAATTGAGTTCCCACTTCTGGCTCCAGTCTGGCCCAGCCCTAGCTATTATAGACATTTGAGGATTTGAGGAGTGAGCCAGGGAATGTGATATCTCTCTCTGTCTCTCCCTCCCTCCCTCAAATAAATTATTTAAATTAGCGTGGCAGGGGCAGGGAGTGAACACTGCTTCTAAGAAGGAAAAAGTCACCTCCTCCAGGAAGCCTTCCCTGGAAACTCAGCAGCACTGGAGCAGGCAGCACCTCTCTGCCGTCTGTCAAAGGCTCTTGGTTGGCTTTCTGGTTGCACTGAAACGTGCGGGATCTTTCCAGAACACGGCATCTCCCAGCGCACATGTCCCCCGTGACTGTCACGACTGTCCACACTAAAAGCTCTCTCACCACTGGGCTCAGCCACCTCTCGGGTCCCTGTTGCTCCCTCTCCTTCCCACACTGAGAAGCCCGGGCTCTGTGGCCAAGTTCACGTCCTCCCAGGCGCCGTGCCTGCCTTTCCATGGGGACTCTGCACACAGCGTGCCCTCTAACAGGAACAGGAACACGATCCACTGGCAGCAGTGCCCAATCCCTCTCCCAGCCGCTGCCCAGTGAGCTCTCGTTTTACCCTTTCTTGCCTTGGCTCATGAGTCCCCTCATCGGAAGAAACCCTTCCCTGATGCACACCCAACAGCCCCGCCCCCGGGTGCTGGTGACATCCACTTCCCCCTGCAAACATGTGCTCCATAGAATCACCCCAAGAGCAGCTGAGCAAGCCCGAGCCAGTCTGCCTTTTTTCAGCCCCAGAGCTCTCCGCGCCTAGCACAGCGCCGATGCACAGTTATCCTGCCTTCAGTATTTGCAGAAGGAACAAATGAACGCACCAACTGCCAGTAGCTGATGAAGCCAAAAACCTCCTCAAGGTCTCTAAGATATTCTGAGACATTCACTGGCAATGCCACTGTTGTGGGTAAGCGAGGGCACCCTTCCTTCCAAAGCCAGGCACCTCAGCTGCAAAGCCATGATCCCCTAGCTTAATGCATCGGATCAGGCTCCTCCCCTACCCCCGCCGCCCAAGACCTAATCCCTCTCCACGACCGGAGCTCCCTGCTGCTCCATCTCCTTAGACTCACTCGTTCCACCCAGAACGTTTTAATTTGGAGAAAATAATGAAGTTCAAGAGGAAAAGGAAAGAGGGGAGGGCAGGTGGGGGGGGGCATGAAATTTCAGGCTGTGTCTGGTTTCCATTTAGGGGCTGGAAGGAAGCAACAAGTTCCCAGGAACTGGTGGAGGAACCGCTCTTGGTTCTGTCTTTGAAATGCGAATTCCACAAAATACGGTTCCAGGGCTGGGAGCCAAGCTGTCTTCTATGTTACGGATGCTCATGGGAGGAAGTGCTTGTCCAACTCCTCAAAGCATTTCCAAAGACATGCAGTCCCGATTGAGAGACAGGAAGAATGGTCTTCAGCCGAGGAGGGATGGCATCCCAAACGTCAAGGGTCCACACCCCTGAGGACATCATCTCCATACTGACCAGGAAACAGAGGGAGGAGGACTTGTGCCACCAAGAGTCAGTCTGGAAACTGCTGCGTACAGAGAAGGTGACACCTGAGTAGACGATGGAAGGGCCAGAATGCCAGAGCTGATCCGGGCTGGGCAGACCCAGGACCTCAAGAGTGATGCTGTCCAAAATAGGAGAACAATGATAGCTCAAGATGAGCCACAGCGTTGGGTCCCACTGGAAGAAAACGCCCATGAATCTTGTACAACTGAGATGGACTGGGAGCAGGAAGAGGAAACCAAACTGAAAACAGAGAGAAGCAGTGCAGAGACAGATGCGACCAGCATGCTCACCTTGCACACCAGAGAGCCTGGGTTCAGTTCCTGGCTCCAACTCCTGAACTCACTTCCCTACTAATGCACACCCAGAGGCAGCAGGTGATGGTTCAAGTAATTGCATCCCTGTCATCCACGTGGGAAACCTAAATTTCATTCCTGCCCCCTTGGCTCTGGTCCCAGCCCAGCTTCAGCTGAGAGATGAGAGTACTCACTCTCGTCTCTCTTTCCCTCCCCCCCTCTCTCCTTGTGTCTCTGCCTCTCAAGTACCTTTTTAAATGTTGAGAAAATATTAGCCACTGTCACCACTGTGACTTGGATATTAGTTGGATATTAGTTGAGAGTTTGAGTGTATCCCAAAGGCCCAAGTTTGACAGTTCCCAAAGTCTCATAGTAATGGTACTCAGAGGGTGGGAGCTTGATCCAATTATGACACTTGCAGCCTTCGGGAAGTAGTTGGATTGGGTTGGATCCCTGGGATACAGCCCCTATAGTGAAATCCTGATGGCTCCATAGGAGACCACATAGAGACACACATACTTCCTGTCTCCTTCCCTGGGATGCCCTGTACCAGCCTGGACTCTGCCAGCATGAACACCATCACCACACCAACGGAGCCACCTGACCTTGGACTGTGAACCTCCAGAACCTTAAGCCCAAGTAAACCCGTTTCCTTTCTAAAGCCAGGCTACCTCGGGCATTTCGTTACAGTGAGGGAAAGCTGACCAGTAAAACCACTATCACTCTTTACAACAGCAACAAACCTGAGGTCATGATGACTACAGAAAGAACGAATAATATGATGAAAAGACTCTGGACTTTTCCACTTCTCTCTACCCAAAGCCTTCCTTCCAAATAATTGTTTCATCTGTGGAGGCACAAATAATATAAACTAAAAAATTCCAGATTTTCTGCCCATTGGAGGGCCCATATGGTTGGCCAAGTTCATTGAGAAGTAACTGAGAAAAGATGTACCTAACAGGCTCAGGGTCTGGCTTGGGTAAAATATGTGAATTCCCATTGCAAACAACCGTTGAATGTAACATCTGTATGACATATGGAGCCGGTGGTGGGAAGCAGAGGCATTGGGAAATGAGCCCCCCATTTCATTCCAGTTTTGGGGCCTCTGCATACCAAGCCCATTCTGTTTCCTAGAGAAGCACAACTTTTTCCAGATGGAATTTGGAGGTTGGCTGTAGCTTGCTAACCCTAACTGTGTCAGCCAGACCCACCTCTAACACTTACATTTGGTTTTGGATGGAACCCACCAAACCTCACCATGCCACTACTATTTCAATTTGATTTCTTCACCAAAACCTTGTGATGAAGCTTTGAAACCCACGTCTTCCTCTTCAGTGCCAATGAACTATGGTCAAGCATTTGTCTTCTGACACTCTGCCCAGAAGCCATAATTCAGAGTCGAAGAACCAAAGGCCAACCCTACCATGGCCAATCCATGCACGGTTGTTTCAAAATATGCATTTTTTCATGAACTTTTTGAAGACAGCTCCAATGCAGGAATTTCATATTTCTGCACCAAAATAAACATATTCTTTTCATTTCACTTTCTGGCAACTTTTTGGAGCACCCCTATAGGCACTCAGTAAGCATCTGTTGGATGAAAGAATTGAGAAACAAGACACAAAGGCACAGAAATCATATATAGTATTGGTTTCTTCTCTGGGCCCCTGCAATGCTATTTTGTAGTTCTTTCCTTTATAACCCAAGACCTTCCTCATTTTGTGGATCAGAGAACTGAAGCTAAGGAACATGGAATCATGGATGTAGAATTACATTCAAGTCTGAACCTACCAGAATGACTCTCTGCGTTAAAGTACACACCCCCACCAGCAAACTTTAACATCAGTGATCACTTGTATATAAGGAAAAGCAAGCCAAAGCAAAGGAACTTTTTCTGGGACTCAATTAAGTTTGCAATGATGCTACTTTGTGTAAGCTTAGTCTCCTGATGCTACACAGGATTTACAGCAATACAGGACAAACCTCATCCTCTGTGCAAAATAAAGAAAATTCACATGGTGGACATTGAATTTTTCTGTTTTGCCTCTAAGAAAAGCAATCTGGAAACTGAGTATTTTGTCAGTGAAGGATTCAGTTTTGTTGCAGTGTTAACAGAAAATACAAATAGCAACGCCTTGGGGGGAAAAAAAAGTAGAGATGAGACATTAATGTCCAGCGTGTAATTTCTGTGAGTCATCAGGATGTAGCTCCTTCCATCCTTGGTGCATAATTGTTCCAACTTTCACGTTTTCATGGTGCCAAGATGGCTGCTAGAACACCAACAATTACAATGGCCATTAAATTCCAAACAACAGAAAGATAGGTGAGCCACGGGCAAGCAATAGGAAGATAGAAGAGCCAAGAGGAAAATCACCCTGTAAAATTCCTTTCCCAGGAGCCCCATGGCGCTACTTCCGTGACCATCTTCTTGGCTGTAACTATATCGCATGACCACCGCTGCCCACAGAGGAGCCAGGAAATGCAGACACACGAGGGAAGCACACTGGCAACCCAACAAAATGTGACCACTAGTTTTAATTTTAAAAATGATAAGCAGGCTGGCGCTGTGACTCACTAGGCTAATCCTCTGCCTTCGGCGCCAGTACTCCGGGTTCTAGTCCTGGTTGGGGCGCCGGTCCTGTCCCAGTTGCTCCTCGTCCAGGCCAGCTCTCTGCTGTGGCCCGGGAAGGCAGTGGAGGATGGCCCAAGTGCTTGGACCCTGCACCCACATGGGAAACCTGGAGGAAGCACCTGGCTCCTGGCTTCGGATCAGTGCAACACACCAGCTGTAGCGGCCATGTGGGGAGTGAACCAGCGGACAGAAGACCTTTCTCTGTGTCTCTCTCCCTCACTGTCTAACTCTGCCTGTCAAAAAAAAAAAGTCATAAAGGCAAGGACAGATTTTACAGAGGATATGTTGGATATATTTAGGATGCCTGAACATTTAAAATAACAAAAGAAAAAGCAAGCAAAATACAAACAACAGGCCGGCGCCGCGGCTCAGTAGGCTAATCATCCACCTGAGGCGCCGGCACACCAGGTTCTAGTCCCGGTCGGGGTGTTGGATTCTGTCCCAGTTGCTCCTCTTCCAGTCCAGCTCTCCGCTGTGGCCCGAGAGTGCAGTGGAGGATGGCCCAAGTCCTTGGGCCCTGCACCCACATAGGAGACCAGGAGAAGCACCTGGCTCCTGGCCTTGGATCGGCATGCACTGGCCACAGCACGCTGGCTGCAGTGGCCATTGGGGGGGTGAACCAACGGAAAAAAGGAAGACCTTTCTCTCCGTCTCTCTCTCTCACTGTCCACTCTGCCTGTCAAAAAAAAAAAAATGATAAGCAACTACCTAGCTGACACAGATGCATAAGTATTATTTAGTGTCTTTTAGATTCCATAACACATCGCATGATGAGCAGAAAACAGAATCCTTGCTTCTGTCGTATATAACAAAGTTATATCATAGCCCTTGGCTTCAAACACTGGATAATACTTAGAAGCTTAAGGTTTATCCAGGCTAGGGTGCAGGCCAATGGTACAATGGAGAAAAGCGATCCATTCCTTTTAAACAAGTCTAGGTAAAGAAAAAAGATGATTCTACCCAGCACATGCATGAACCATTGTTCATGCGTTGGCAGTCTTGGCTGCCAGTCCCTGAATCATTGATGCCTGAGGTTTCAGATTTCATTCTGTATTTACCTGTAAATGGATCTTTGGATCTAAAAGAAAGGCACTCTAACTAGAGGAAGACACTCCCACACCCAGAAAAATCAAAGATTTCCTCTTTGCCTCCTCCAGGCCCCATCTTAAGGAAGCCGCTAGGAATTTCTGTCCACCAGGTAAGAAGGTCTGAGAGAACTGAGCCTCTATGTGATTGACAAGAATCCCGGCCTCTCCACATAGGCATTAGTCTTGAAGATACTCAAGGTCACACACAAGGAGCAGGATAAAGAGGTAATGAGGGACTGGACAGAAAGCAAACGCAGGCCGGTGAGCAGACACAGCCTGACACCAAGCGCCATTTTCGTCAGAAGGCTCCCTTCCGGTCTGGCGGCAGGATCACTTCCAGCACTGGCCAGAGGGCAGGTGCGCCTCCTCCTGTTTCAGGGAGGTACTGCAACAACGCTAGCTGCAGGTTGCTGAAGTGTGATTCTTTGCAGCATATTATGGCCTGTGGGATGGGCAGTGAACTCTTGGAGAATCCTTGTTAATTCCAACAGGGAGTGTTGGGACACATCCATGAAACCACTCCACACTTGGCCAAGCAAAGGGTGCCCTCCATCTGAAAAGCAAGCATTTCACTGTCCCTCCCACACAGCCCCGTGCCCACTGTTCACAACCATGTCCACTCATAATACTGGCTTTATTCTAGGCTGTGTTCCTTTTCTTTTTGATTCACAAGAATGTCGTGAGATGTGTCGACGGACCTATTCTTTTAAAAAATGATGCATTCCGGAGCAGGAAAAGGTGGAGAAGTATACAGAGAAACCACAGAATGAGGCGCACGGAGCCAAAAATAAAGATTATGTCAACTCTTACCTTTAAATTGTACTTATTTATTTTATATATTTGAGAAAGAGACACTCGGACAGAGATCTCCCATTCACCAGTTCCCTCCCCAAATGCCCACAGCAAATACTGGGCCAAGGCTAGGAGCAAGAATTCATTTCAGCTCTCCTACATGGGTAGCAGGGCCCCAACTACTTGAGCCACCACTTGCTGCTTGCAAGGGTCTATAGCAGGGAGCTAGGAGTGGAGTGGAGTGGGACGTGAACCCAGCCACTCTGATATGGGCTGGGAGTGTTCCAGGTGGTCTCCTTTTTTTATTTTTTTAATTTATTTGAAAGTCAGAGTTACAAAGAGAGAGGGGTAGAGGTCTTCCATCCGCTGCTTCACTCCCCAATTGGCCACAATGGCCGGAGCTGCGCTGATCCAAAGCCAGGAGCCAGGAGCTTCTTCTGTGTCTCCCATGCAGGTACAGGGGCCCAAGGACTTGGGTCATCTTCTGCTGTTTCCCAGGCCACAGCAGAGAGCTGGATTCGGGAAGTGGAGCAGCCAGGACTCGAACTGGTGCCCATATGGGATGCCAGCACTGCAGGCCAGGGCATAAACCCACTGCACCACAGCACCGGCTCCTCCAGGTGGTGTCTTACGACTCTGCCACACATCAGCCCTTCATGTAACTCTTCTGTTGTTCTGTTAACACTTCCTGGACCTTACTGTGCTATGAAATTTGTTTTCAATACAGAACCTTATTTGTGTACATGGAATTATGCATCAATATGAAATCCTTGGATTTTCTTTGTGCATCTGGCTAGCCAGCATTTCTCATATGCCATGTAGACACAGTCACAGTGAGAAGAGAAAAGGGTGAAAGGGATTGGAAATAGCTTCTGGAAAGCAAAGCCACATAGAGTGAGGTATCCTGATAATGCTTTTTGTCTCCTGTGTACACACACACACACTAACATACCCACACACACACACACACACCTACACACACACACACACACACACCTACACACACACACACACACCTACACCACACACACACCCCTACACACACACACACCCCTACACACACACAGACACACACAAATACCTACACACACCCCTACACACACAAAAACACACACACACACCTATACCTACACACAAATACACACACATACCTACACACACACACATACCTACACACACAGACACACACACAAATACCTACACACACCTACACACACAATCTACACACAAATACCTACACAGACACACACACAAATAGCTACACACACACCTACACACACAAATACCTACACACACCTACACACATACACCTACACACACAAATACCTACACACACACCTACACACACAAATACCTACACACACCTACACATACACACAAATACCTACACACACACACCTACACACACAAATACCTACACACACACCTACACACACACACAAATACCTACACACACAAATACCTACACACACAAATACCTACACACACTCCTACACCAGTATTTTCGAAGGCTGCAGAGTCACTCTTGATCATCAGGAATATTTAGTCTACAGCACAGCAGTGCCTATCTCGGAACAACTGGTAGACTTGAAGGCTTTCCCGCAGCACATCACCCATACTCTCGTGCCTTCGTCGGCTGATTGTTAACTCTCCTGCCGGTTTATCCTTTCCTTGAGGATTTCAGTCTACTTGAGAAGACCCCAGCGTGCAGCCTCCCACACAGTCTGGCACACGGCAGTGGTTATAGGTACAGCATGATCACCTGCAGCAATCAGCTGTGCACCTGTGGAGTCCCAGCGATCAAGACCTAATTCCAGGGGCCAGCACCGTGGTGCAGTGGGTTAACGCCCTGGCCTGACGTGCTGGCATCCCATATGGAAACAGGTTCTAGTCCCGGCTGCTCCACTTCTGATCCAGCTCTCTGCTATGGCCTGGGAAAGCAGTGGAAGATGGCCCAAGTCCTTGGGCCCCTGAACCTACCCGGAAGAAGCTCCTGGCTCTTGGTTTCAGATCGGCGCAGCTCGACCATTGTGGCCACTTGGGGAGTGAACCATCAGATGGAAGACTCTCCCTGCATCTTCTCTCTCTGTGTAACTTCCAATAAATAAATAAGTCTTTAAAAAGATTTTTAAAAATACCTATTTCTATTGTTCAGCTACTCCCCTATCCTACACACACACACACACACACACACACACACAGTGCCCAAGTTCAAAACCAGTAGTCAGACACAGGGTCATATAGATGAAGAGGAAAATGCTGGGGCCGGTGCTGTGGCTCAGCGGGTTAATGCCCTGACCTGAAGCGCCAGCATCCCATATGGGTACCAGTTCTAGTCCCGGCTGCTCCTCTTCCTGTCCAGCTCTCTGCTTTGGCCTGGGAAAGCAGTAGAAGATGGTCCAAGCCCTTGGGCCCCTGCACCCACATGTGAAACCCGGAAGAAGCTCCTGGCTCCTGGCTTCGGATCGGTGCAGCTCTGCCGTTGTGGCCATCTGGGGAGTGAACCAACAGCTGGAAGACCTCTCTCTGTGTCTTTACCTCTCTGTACTTCTGTCTTTGAAATAAATAAAATAAATCTTTTTTAAAAAAAAGAAGAAAATGTGAGCTTTCTTGCTCATCAAAGCAGTTTCACCAGGCATGCCTCCAATGGTCAGCTTCAGTTGGCCTCCCATCACCTCCCACTGGAAAGTGGACAGACTTATCCATGGGTCCCTGTGCACCACTGTGCCGCCAGCTAACAGCAGAGCCCCCAGCAAATGCACCCGTCTGTGGGCAGAGACATCTGCCCGTGAGAAGATCCCGAGGAGTAAATGGAATTTCCACAGGGCTCTTTCTGACTCCCGGAGCAGATAAATCACTCCTGCTCCCTGCTGGGGTGGAGCTGAGTGGGGGCTTTGAGAAGAATTCCAGCCCTGCCTCCTGCAGACTAGAATCTCTCCCCTCCCGGAGGAAAAGGGCATCTTCCCATCTAAATTCCACAGATGCCTGTTGCTTTTGCCCCTGGATGTTAATCTCTGTCCTGTGAGGATCATTTATATTTATTATGTGCCAAAGCCAACACCCAACACATAATTCCAGATAACCCGCCTCATAAATTCTACATATCGGGATTTATCTACCCCAGATGGGGAGCAGTTTTGATCTTCAGGACCAAACAGATTTTATAAATCACAGAATGCCCGAGGATGCCCTGAGCTCTGTGTCTCTGATGTCCATGGAGCTGTCTATGCACTGGGAGCTAATGGAGCAAAGACAATGAAATAAAAACGAGACTTGAAGAATCGGCTATGAGCAGGTGGACACGTGTTCGGGGATGTGTGTGACTTAGTCCCTAAGTCCTCAAGCCAAGATATATAAGCTTAGGAAAGGTTGTATGGCAATAACTAACACGCATGCTGGTAATACAGGCAGGGGTACTCCCTTAAAGACAGTGGGCTTCTGAATTCTTAGTGTTGGGTGAGTGGCCAATCTAAGACATCCTACTGAAAAAGACAGTGCATGATGGGAGTTCTTGCTATCTGAGAAATATTCCTAATGATGGACTTTCAGTGAGTGACTTAATAGGATAGGAAGGTAGAACGAGTTGCCATAGTGGACAACTCTTCAATTTCAGGCTACATCAGCTACAGACAAACATGGAGTACGTACTCTGTGCCCAGTACAGGAAGGCACTATTGCTATAGTCCACGGATGAAAGAATGAGGTACAGAGAAGGCATGGGACTTGCCCAAGGCCTCAGAGACAGTGAGTGGAAAAGCCATAACTGGAGAAATTATATAGCAGGTGAATTATATCT